GTCCTGGCCCGGCCGCGTCCTCAGGGCAGGCCTTGCTGGGGCTGGAGGCTGAAGGGAGCAGCCCCAGTACCTGGGCTCTGTGGGTCCGGGTTGGTGTCCTTGCTTTTTGCCAGTGGGCTGGGGAGGTCTCTGTGTGGCTCCTGGGCATGGGAGAAGGTTCCCTGTCCCGCCTGGCACGTCATTCTCCACCCGAGCTGCTCCCCTCGTTTCACTTTCCACTGACGGAGGCGCTTTCCTCTGGTGCTCGTCCTCCTCTTGAGTCTTGGGTGTTCTTGCCAACACAACACCCTCCTCCTCACAGCAGCCTTTTTCAGAGGAGAAGCGGCGCTTGGAAGACGTCTCCTGAGCAGCCACGGCCATCCCGCTGGAAGGGCAGAGTCAGGCCCAGCCTTCCCGCCTCCTCGCCCGCATGCCGTGGAGGAGCTGGCGCGGGCTCCCTCTCCCAGCCGCTGCCCCCTTTCCTGGTGCCGCTTCTCCAATTTGAATGAGAATAGTCGCTTCAGAACTTGGGCAGTTCCCAAGGCTCATCACGGAGCCGGCCCCGAGAGACACACACACGTGTAACGACATAATTACGCGCGCCGGCAGCCAAGTCCCCGCGCAGAGGCCGGGACAGCGGGGACGCGCCTGGCGTGCGAGCAGGAACCCGGACTTGCGTGTGCAGCAGCCACTGCTCTCTGGGAACCGGCCTCCCGCGCCGAAGGCTACCGAACGAAGCCAATGATCAGGCTGTGACAGTCCCCACTTGGCGCTACCGTGGCCGTGCTGGCCCCCGTGCAGCATTGTCCCCGAGCCGCAAGGCCCGCTGGGCAGGTCCCCGAGCTCTGCCTTTGGCTTGACGTCACAGTGATTGATTTCAACATGAAGTGCCTCCAGCTGTCCTTGGTTTTCCTTGCTGCCTCTGCTGGTGTCTGATCTTGGTGCTTGCTCCTCCAGCTGGGAGAGTCTGTTGTTTGGAGGAGAGCCCGCCCGCATGGCCCAGAGATGGCTGAGACTTGCTACTGTGACTTTGAGTAAGTCACTCAACTTTGCCGAGCACCAGAGCCCGCTGGACTTCCCTGGAGGTTGACAATGGTGTGCAGGCGCCTTGCCCAGCAGGTGGCAGAGGACAAGCTGCAACTTCCATCCGCCCCAGGCGGGAGGGGCAGTAGGTGCAGAGGCTGGCGAGGCAGAGGGAGGAGGGATTTGCTGCAACCTCCCACACCGCCCAGCAGCCCATGTCCGCAGTTCACGGCTGCACCTCATCCAGTTTCTAGAAGGATCCGCTCAGGCTGTGGACCCTCAGTGGGCAGGGGGACATGAGTGTGCCCATGTGCCCAGGACCGCACTGGCTTCCCGGCAGTGTGCTCCAGGCCCCCTGCCCACCCTCGCTGCCTCAATGTACGAATGGATGGAGGCAGAAGTTGGTGTCCACTCAGTGTCGCCGTGCCCCCTGGTCAGGCCTTCAGACAAGAGGACGGGAGTGACCCAGACACTCCCTGTGAACAAAACCCTTTCTAAACTGCCACTCCAGCTCCAGAGAGACCTCCAGGCCAGCAGGCAAGAGGGAGCCCCTGGGGCCCCTCCTCAGAGGGTCAAGAAAAGCCCATTCGCTCTTCACTTTATCCCGGATGCTTAAAAAAATATTGTGGTAATGTAGGTCAGTGAACTGCCCGGCACCACACGGCAGCAGGATTACAGGGCCCCGCCGCCCGCACGCTGACACCGGTCAGATGAGAACATAAACAAGAAGTGCCAGCGCCCTTGGCCTCCCCGCCCTGGGCCCATGTTTATGTAGCACTTAAACCAGCTCCGGGGTCGTTGCTGTCTGCCACGAGAGCCCCGAAGCTTTTTGAAGTTCCCTTGAGTTAATAAAATTAGTCTGCCCTCCTTGCAAGACCCTGGCTTGTGGAAAGATGTATCCTCGGCTGTCTCTGTGGCATTTAGCTTTATAAGTTAATATTTTATAAAAAGGAGGGGGCAGGAGAAGAGCTGCAGTGAGTCTCATGAAAGGTCTTCTGGCTCATCGGCAGCACGCCTGCACCCCAGAATCTCCTTGCCGTGGGTGACGGGCCAGCTGCGTCCCTGCCACCCACCCCGGTATGGGGGGCCAGGCCCAGGCTGGGGTGGGTCTCACTCTTAGATGAAGTATGTCCCCACGTCCTATGGAGGGATCTACCGCCACGAACCTCCTCCTCTCACCAGTCTCTTCTCCCCGCTCCATGTCATGTTTGTGTTTATGGGCACCCGCTGTGGGTTAGGGCTGTGGGGACAGAACTTCTGGGATGGTGAGGGGCCAGGTGAGCTGTCAGCAAGGAGCAGAGTGGCCAGGCTGCCGGTACAGGAGGACCTGCAATGTGGGGAGGCCTCCTGGTGACAGGAGAGCCCCAGCTGAGCCTAGGAGGACCGTGGGGTCCTAAGGATTTCAGGTGGGGGACAGAAGTGGGAAGCACATGGGAGGGAAGGAAGCATGACAAAGAGGTATGAGGAAATATGGGGGTGATGGATATGTGCGTTAGCCTGATTGTGGGGATGGTTTCATGGGTACCTGTGTGTACGTAAACTTACCAGCGTATGTAAGTTACGTGCCTGCAAGATCTTGTCTGTCAGTTACATCTCAGCCTAGCTGTTCAAAAGCCACAGGCACAAGTGAGCATTGCACACGTACCGGAAATTACCCGTTAGGTGTGCATTCAACACCTACTCAGGCTTTCTTGGAACATATCGCCTGCATCCGCTCGTGTTCTGGAAAGGCAGCAGTGGAGGAGGTGGGCATGTTTCTCCCTTCAAAGACTAGTGTCCCGGTTATGGGCAGCCGACAAGCACCAGATTAAGCTGTGCTGTAACATCAGGCAGTGATCTGTGCTCTGAAGACAGGGCGAGGGGCCGCAGAGGACTGCCAGCACGAGGCCCTTGCCGGGCACCAGGGGCCCGCACCCCGTCTCTGCCAAGGCACAGTCCAAATGCAGTGGGGTACAGGGAGTCTATCGCTGGTCCTGCCGCCAGGATCTGGGTGAGCCCCTGAGACAGGAGCTTTGATTTGTTCACAGTTGCAGGCCTAACACGTGCCAGGCTCTGTTTGAGAGAGCACCTCAGGGTGGTGGTGGCAGAGCGCCTTCAGGCACAGGCAGTGTGGAATGGCCCGTCCAGAGCCATGGGGTCAGGTCAGCTGGCCGTCCTGGCACTTCCTGTACCAGGCTCAGCTGCAGAATGTGCCTCCGTGGGCCTCGTGCTCCCAGGCTCCTGCCTGGCCAGGACTGGTATGCCACATGCAGTCCATTCTGCTGGGTGTGGGCGTGGGGCCTAGGAGGGGAGCAGCGAGGGTTGCCCTGGGCCTTTGGGGCTGGTGCCATCCGCTGGCCCTGACTCACCCCCTCCTTCAGGTAGAGGCGCTCCTCCCATTCGGCTCACCCAGCAACTGTTTTGGCCGCCAGTGCGTGGGAGCAGGGCACCCACAGAAGGGGCATGGCCCAGGGGGGAGGTCCAGCCTGCAAGGGGAGCTCTGCTGGAGCCGAGTCCTGAAGGACGAGGAGGAGTTCACGTGTGGGAATGAGATTTGTGAATTATAAAGGGCTGCGCAAGTGGGAATGATTATTCTTATCATTATTTGCATCCCATTCATCCATCACCGGGGAGGAAGGAATGCGAGCACCTTTTATCTGGCGCTATGAATCAAATCGAATAGGGTATGTTTTTCCAAAAGGTTTTTAGGGTAAATGGGACAGTTTCTGCTTTTCAAAACAATCCATCTGGAGCCCTGGCCCTGTCTGGGTGTCTTGGGCAGGAGTGAGATGTTTCTGAGACTGAGGACGGCCCCGCCCACAGGGGTCGCGGTCTGGGGAAGGGAGCCCCGGGGACGAGGCCGTCCCCATGCGGGCAGCACCCTGGGGCTGGGGACGCGCTGCTGCCATGTGTCCGCGCCCGCTCAGGTTTGACCTTGCCGGGGCCTAGAGCAGGGGTAAGTCTCCCCAGTCTCCCCTGTATCCCGTGCAGCATGCAGGGTGCCGATGCCAGCTGAGACTCAGTACTCTGCTCTGCAGTAGCAGCGAGTCTCCAGAAGAGTCTCTTGTGTGTCTCTCACATGCAGGCCCTGCACCATCACATGACATGGGGGGTCCCCAGGAGGTGAGAGGAGGGTCCCCTGCTGGGAGTCCTAGCCATGCCGTCCTCCAGAGAGGGCCCCTGAGTTACCAGGGGCCTGAGGAGGGGAGACTCACAGTCTTTCCCTGCTCAAGCCTTTAGGGAGAAAGTCCAAGGTGAACACGTCTGTGGGGACCTCAGGGCAGTGCCAAGCCTGCTTTTTCACTCACACCCTTGTCCCTCCTCAGCCTGCCTCCAGAGACAGAGGCGGGCAGGGGCAGGAGCTCACAGCTGAGGGCTGCAGGTGGGCTGTAGGAGGCTGATGGAAATGGGGATTTGCCTGGTAGAGGCTGGAGGGCACTTTGGAGGAGGCGGCAGGGGCTGTGGAGTGAGCAGGCCCAGGCCCAGGAGGGGCCTCCGTGTAGAGGGACGCGTGGGGCTGAAGTGCGTGCCCGGAGAGGCGGTTGGGACCAGGAAAGGAGGGAAGAGACGCCAGGGAGGGTGAGGTGGGTTCTGAAATGGCTCAGGTGTAAGCACTGTGCTCTCGTCGGGGGTGCCCCAAAGGGGCACGGGCGGGACACACTCAGTGGCCCTGTAGAGGGGGCCACTAGCTGGGAACAGCAGCCGTGGTTGCCACAGGGCAGCAGCTGCTGCTTACTGTGCCCAGGGGGCCTGTGGCCTGGCTCTGTTGTGCTTCCACCCCCACATCGTAGCAGAGAATTGCCTCCCTCAGTGGCTGGCGTGGGCTGCATGTGTAGGTCCACAACAGCACTCACAGCAAGTCTGGCATGCAGCACGTTGGGGGAAACCATGTGGCCAGCCGGCCATGTCAGTGCCCCGGTGTGTTCGGTGATGGAAGAGAAGGGCCAACCGCCTGGGGGTGAGCAGGCCGTGCCTCTCTGGCGCACTGACAGTCTCTCTCTGGCTGGGCATCCAAACAGGCAATGGACGACTGCAGCGTGATCGGCCGTTCTCTGTTCAAGAAGGAGACCAACATCCAGCTGTTCGTGGGGCTCAAGGTGCAGCTATCCACGGGGGAGCAGGGGGTCATCGACAGTGCCTTCGGTCAGAGTGGCAAGTTCAAGATCCACATCCCTGGTGAGTGGCCGTTTCTTCCTGCCCTGGCACGCTGGGCCAGGCATGGAGTGAGTGTGCTGGTGCCCCAAGTCTCGGGTGTCTGGGCCGCCTGTGCTGACACAGGCAGCTGACCCAGGGGCCTCATTGCCAGCCTCTGGTTCTGACCCCTTGTGGCTGCAAAGCCAGTGTGGGTGCTGGAAGGCCCTGGTGTGAAGCCAGCACCTGTTTTGAGCCAGGGTCAAGGTCTGAGTATGAGTGTCCACTCTGCCATTACCAGCGGGAAGACCCGCCTGTGACTTACCCGTGAGGTGGGCCTACTAGCTCTGACCTGACGGGTGGTTTGGAGGAAGAGAGTTGGTGAGGCAGACTGGCACCAGCCCTGACAGCACTTCCCAGAATGTGGGTTGCCTCCTTCTTGCCCAGCAGAGACCGGCCACAGGCATAGAGCCTCCCAGTCTGATTTAGACTTGGCTATATGGGGTCAAGGTCAAGGCCTCTGGAAACAGAGGCCTTGGGTTTCTGTCATTCTGCCACCCCTTCCACCCCACCCCTGCTCCTCAGCAGGCACAGCACTGCACTGGCGGGAGGGGTCGCGCGGGACACACTCAGTAAGCATGGGCCATGCTATGCAGAACGAAGCAGGGAGGGCAGGCAATACCTGAAGAGGTACCAGCTGCAGAGGCCTGGCTGGAGGGACCTAAGGCAAGAACATTCCGCAGAGAGAGAAGCAAGTGCAAAGGCCCTGAGGTGACCATGAGCTTGGTGTTTGAGGATGGGACACTTAGCAGGAGTGTTGTGAGCAGAGAGGAGTGTGGAATGCTGATCTGGGGTTCTACTCAAGCACCTGGCCGCGGGGTACAGACTGGGCGGTGTTTCCATGTTAGAAAATTTATGTAATGCGCCGCCAGCCACTGTCTTACCCTCTCCCCACCCCGGCATTGTTAGGACAGTTTCCAAACATGCAGCAAAGTTGAAGAATTTTTGTGAATTCTGTACCCCAGCCTTGACTCACAACAGCTCTTGGGGTGTAACTTCTTAAGTAAAACCCCCAGAGAGGAGAAAGCCCCAGCCCCAGCTAGGAAGTAGGAATCCCAGCATCCTGCCACTTAACCAGGCAAAGCAGCACTTCCTGCTCTTGAGGGCCTGTTGGGGGCCTGCCCCCCAAGCCCCCTGAAGCCCTCTCCTGAGAGAGAGCAGTGGTCACCAGGGACCTGCTTCCCCATGGCACTGGGTTCCATTGTTTGACTGTACCCCAAGACTTCTGTCAAGGTCTGGCTGAGCCCCATCACAGGTGGGCAGTCTGGGGCTCAGGACAGGCAAGGTGGTCCACCCACAGGAGGCTCCAGCCATGACACTGGACTTTAAATTTTTGTCCTGTCCTCCACCTGCTCCTTAGCTGCCCCCGAGTCCTCGTGTCAACCTAACTGGGGTCCCGAGTGTCCTGCTCTGGGTTCCAGGGAGCATGTGCAGGGCCTGGGCCTGCATCTGTGGGTCCTTTCCAGGAGGGAGGGCCCAGGGCTCTGGGAGAGCAGGATGGAGCACTCACCCCTTCCAGGGTGCTGGGCCTGCTGGTCCAGACAGAGCAGGAGGGCAGCCCCTTTCCTTCTTGGGGGTGGGCAGGATCTCCCTGACCTTCCTGCCAGCTCTCCTGCCTCAGAGTTGGGGTCTTCCCAGAGTGCCCAGATGCAGGAGGAGGCCCGTTTGGGGATCCTGGGTGCCGGGGTGGGAGCGAGGAGGGAGACTAGTGACACCGCCTTAGTCAGCTCGAGTTCACATTCCTCTGTTAGGTCAGTGTTGCCTTTTTAATAGGTCTGCTTCCTGTTTGTGGCTTTTAAACTTTTTATTAAATATAGCTGATCAGATTCCTCATCCCACCCACCCCCACCGCCTGCTTGTCTTTTCCTGCCGATTCCTCCATAAAGGATTACTTTTAACCTTTTTGAAGTGCCTTAATTGAGAAAGAATCCTCCGTAAACCCGAGACACCCAGTGCCAGGTGGAGGAGGGCGCCTCGCTGGCTGCAAGTTGGAAGCTTTGGGGATGCACAGTGTGAGGCTCCTGGAGCAGGGCTCTGGGGGGCCTGCCCCAGGCCCCCCGCCACCACCTGGAGCTGAACCTTCAGCCCTGGGTCCCACAGGTATGAGCACAGCCTTGCCCTCATGGGGGACCATACGGCCCAGCACACGGCCCAGCACGCCCTGGGAAGCCAGAGCAGTGGCAGCAGCACGGTGGGACGGGCCTGTCATCTTGGGCCCAGCTCCCTGTGTGCCCGATGCGGGCAGCCAGATCCTTGTTCTAAACTGGAGCAGAGCGCATGCGTCCTCCTCATTTTCACTTAGGATCCTCAGGCTTTGTGATCCTTAATAACCTTTAGTTATTACCAATCACAAATCGATGCCTCCAGGCAGAGGAGAAAAGAGAAATCTGTAGATTTGTACTTCCAGGAAGAACCCAGAGGAACTTCCATTGGCTGCTCTTCCAGAGGAGCCAGCACCCGGGAGCGTTGTCAGAAAGGTTGGCTTTTACTTACACCCTAAGCCTGGAAATAGCCCCACTTCACAGAGGGGCACCTAAGGATCCATGGTAGTGAAAGTCAGTTGCAGGCTCGAAGAACCCCGCCCTGCTCCCTTGGGCTGGTGGAAAAAGAACTTTGTGCCCTTCTTTTGATTATGTGGAAGGGGCTGCCATGCGGCCCCCGGCTGGGTGTGGGGGAGCCACTGCCAGCGCATCCAGGCTTCTGTGTACTGTCCTGGTCATGTTTGCCAACCCCCAGGTACGACGTTTACTGAATGAGGAAACATCACTTGCAAAATAAATAAATAAATAAATAAATACGTTCAGTGGAATAGACTGGACTGGGGTGAATAAAAGGGTGAGCCCAGGCCTTTGGGGACCAAGGAGCCTGGCCTGGCATGCTGAAACCTCCCTGTATCTCCTCTGACCCAGCAGGCCCAACATTGTCACCTGCAGCTGGCTCCTGGGGACATGCTAAGGGCTCCAGATTTTTTTTTTATAAGATTTATTTATTTATGCACACAAGAACTGGGGTACAGGCCAGAGGTGTGGGGAGTGAGAAGATTCACCAGAGACAGAGTGGGGAGCAGAACAGGCAGATTGACTGCAATACACTGTTGAGTGGAGCAGCAGGCGAGACAGGAGAGACCTGCTGCTCCACGTGGGTAGCTCCCTGGCCGAGGATCGAACTTCTGTTGCAGAGGCTGCGGATAGCTTCGCAGTGCTGTGCTTAACCCCTTGCGCCACTCAGCAAACCTCAGTTGTTCCAACTCCGTCTTGTCCCAAGGCGTGTCCCTGTGGGAAAGATGGACACATGGGCCAGCCATTCGTCATCAGTGTGGTGGGGTCCATAGGGCCTGTGGCTGTCCGAGGCGGACAGCCAGGGCAGATTCCCAGAGGAGGTGCTGTCCCAGCAGGGGCTGGGAAGACGGGCGGAGGTGTGTGGAATCAAGTGTGTGACATCCCATAGCCAGAGGCCAGTCAGCAGTGCCAGGGAAGGGACGGGAGAGTGGGCAGTGCAGGCCCCACCTGTACCTACTTGAGCTCCGTTCTCCATTCACTTGGGAATTCTCACCTTGCCTGTTCCCATGACCTCATTCCTCCTGCTGCTGGTACCATCTTCAACCCCAGCCTAGATGTTCTCCTCTGTGGGGGCACACCTGCCTCCAGGGCCACTGCGAGTGCTTCTCGCGGGCCCTGCAGCACTGCCAAGTGAAGGAGGCCAGGCTGGATGGCAGGGAGCGCCTTTCATCCTCCTCATCCTCGTGCCACAGGAGAGAAAACTGAGGTTCCTTGCTCAGAGCTGCATACCTTGTAAGAATCTAGAGTCTCTGCCTCTGTGGTTCTCAGGGGATGGCACAGTGGCCACCGGGAGTGAGGGGCACAAAGCCCTGCCAGCTGGCATCTCTTGGCCCTCCCAGCCACTTTCCCAGGACTCTGGGGTTCAGGCAGACCACCCCAGACCCCGTGTGCTGAAACAGGGTAGTGGCTTCACTCATGTCCAGGGCTCCGGGTGGCAGCTCAGCACCGCTGTTCATCTGTCCATCTGCTGCTTCTTGGGCCCTGGTGGTACCAGGTCGTGTCCAAGTGCAGCATTGGCATCGGTGGAGAAGCAGTCTCAGAGGGGGAGGGAGGTCCCCAACATTGACTGTGGAAATAGAGTCCTGGGGCTCCCAGGATGAGGCACTGCCCCTCCTGCGTCTCCTGTCGGGAGATGTGGGGAATTATCCCCACTGCAGTACCTGACCCATGACAGGGTACTCCATAAATGGTGGCATGTGGTGTTGTTTGTATCCACCAGGCACCTGCCCTCGCCGGTAGCTCCTGTCCCACGAGGCCCTGCCCCACCGTAGAGCTGGAGAGCTCTGTGGGCCCGGCCTGGCCTCACACTAGGCTGCTCATCAGGAGAGGACCTGCCACCTTCCAAGCGGAGCTTGGCTCTTTCACCAAGTCCTTCCATTTATTGACCTTGAAAGGCACTTTGCATTTGGTCAAAAGCAAGGATTATACATTTCCTCCTAACTGAAAGCAGCTATATCATAAACTTACCCTCCAGGTGCCCCACCTACTCAAACAGATGATGAGCCAGCCCATGGAGGGCCTGGAGCAGACCAGCTCTCTGCCCACCCCCCTCCATTTTATCAGGTGGCACATTTGTCAGGACTAAACCCCAGCAGCTCCGGGTGCTAAAGCACGGGCTTTTTTGTGCAGACCAGGCCTACGGAATCAGGGACATACATCCAGTTTACCCCTGCATTAGTTGAAGCCCCCACAGTCAGTGAAACCAGTGCCAGACACCCAGATTCTATGAGACAGCCAGGAACATTGTCTGGAGTCATGTGGACCAGTGATCAGAGGGAGTGGGCTCAGCCTGGCATGCCCACACTGGGGATCGCCGGCTGGGCCTGAAGTGGCAACACAGATTGCTGTTCCGGAGTCTGTGCCCTGTGCCAGGCAGCCCAGGATGGGGCGGGCTTGGCAGTGCCTGCATGGAAGGGAGCCAGGCTA